CGCGGGGCTCCCCTTACCGTGCTGCGGCGTCAGGCCGAGCAGCCCCAGGCGGCGCGCAATGGAAACAAGTCGTCACACACGTGGGGAGAGGGGGGAGGGGGCGGAACGGAGACCTTCTGAGGGTGTGGGCATGGAGGGCGTGGAGGGCTTGAAGTTGGACGTTTGAGGGGTGCTGAGGGCATGTCGTCGGATGTCTGAGGGGCATGAAGTTGGATATCTGAGGAATGCTGGAGGCATGAAGTCGGATGTCTGGGGGATGCCGGGGGCATATCGTCGGATGTCTAAGAGTTGTGCGGGCACGTCGTTGGATTCCTGAGGGGCATGAAGCCGGATGTCTGAGGGATACTAGCGGCATGCCGTCGGATGTCTGAGGGATACTAGCGGCATGCCGTCGGATGTCTGAGGGCTGCTGGAGGCATGTCGTCGGATGCCTGAGGGATGCTAGGGACATGTCGGATGTCTGGGGGATGCTGGGGATATGTCGGATGTCTGAGGGATGCTGGGGATATGTCGGATGTCTGAGGGATGCTGGGGACACATAGGATCAGGATATCTAACGTAGCTGCGACGTGCTTTGGAAGATCATCACGCATGTCTATCACGAACGTTTCTGACACCTAAAGAGCCTGTCTTGACGCAACGGAATTTCTGAAGATGCCACAGGAGACGACTGATGAAACTGCAGAATGTTTGTGGAGACTGTAACACCCGCGGGACTGTCATCAGCTTCTGATGTGACTGTCGCGGAAGTGTGATAAGAGATCGTTCGAAGGCCTTTCACAGACGCCAGGGGGCTGCCTCGTGTTTCTGTGGTAATACCGGTGGACCACCGACTTTCGCCAGCTAGTCGGTGACGTCCAATTCCGGCGGCTACAACAAGCAGGCTTTCAGGTCCCTTCCCTACACACACCGGCGCTTGCCTTCTTTCGGCACACGCGGAATGAGCGCACCACCAACCCTGACCCGACGCCTGCTGCCGTACGGCCCAGGGCGCCGCATTCTCGAGCGATGATTGGCGCGGCGGCGCCCCCCCCCCCCCTCCCCCCCCGATCCCAGACCCAGACGGCCAGCAATCGACGTGCCGTTATATACAGCAGCAAATCACGGGCCGAACGGGCGCGGCCCTCGGACTGCCTGCAGCGACCCGCTCCGTCGGCACTACCGTCGCGACACGCCGCTGTCGCCGTCGGCGGCGGGGAGCCGGCCGGGCGGCCCGCCGGCACTCGTCCCCAGGGCTGCCGCCAGCTGCGCCGCAGTTCCGGTCGCAGACCCCCCATTACGGCACTCGCATCCAATTAGCATGAGCATTGGCATTCTGCCTCATTATCTGCCCGCCAGCGGCACTCCGCGCTCGTTACGATCGGCCCCGATCTATGGAAACGCTGGGCGATGGCGGACCGATGGCGCCAAACAAATACGGCCCTCAAAAATGTGTCATAAGTGAGGCCACAGCCCATGGCAATGACCCACATGCACAAGTGTCCCTGATGACTCACAAAACACGCATATTTGTATCACAAACAGATGGCAGGCCTTAGATAGACATTAAACTGCGAACAGATCGGAATTCGCTCAATCAGAGCGTGATAACATGTCAGATCACATACTGGCGCAGGCCTTGGCAAAAACGACGTCAATGAGACCTCAATCGCTCGCAAATCAAGCAGTGACATGTGACGTCACAGTGCCACAGTGACGTCCCTGCAGGCACGCCGAACACAGTAGCCCATCTAACCAGATGACACATTCCCGTATGCTATCTGCAATATGTGTTTGGGCAGGCGCCAAGGCGTGCACCACCGACACCCGAAGCGCCCGCGTGAAGTCACGCCCGCGACGACAGCCAAATCAGCGGCCATAGCGCACTCAGACCCCGGCCCACGTCCCCACCCGCAACCGAACAAAGGTGGATGCATCGCCATGTTGCCCAGACGTGTAACCAATCGCCGAGCCCAGGCAAACCGCTTGGCGCTGCACCGCTCAGCCGGGCTGCAAAGCTCAGCACGGCTTGTGTATGCAGCACAGCCGCTGCAGGCGAAGGCAGGGCAGGCGGGGCCGGGGGGGGAGGGGGGGGGGGCAAGAGTACGCAGCTGCATACCAGCTCGGGGACATTAGTCAGCCGGCGGCGTTGACCGTTGCATCAGGGTCGGTGGCCGTCTGGCGGGCCTCCGTCGTGTTTATGTGTTTGGAGCGGAGCCTGCGCCGCTGAGCGCCGCCATCACGAGCGCGCCGACACCGCCCCGCCGGCGTCGGCCGGGCTGCCGTCGGCGGCGGCGGCGGGCAGGCGCGCCGGAGACGGACGGTGCCGCTGTCGGGACGCGTCGGCTGAACGGGCTCAGGTAACACAGGCGTGCCGGCAGCCAAGAACTGACAACGGTACCTCCGACAACGCTTGAGAAATGTTGGTCGGGCCCGCCATCCCCAAGAAATCACTTCACCGCACCTTTTGGGAAGTAGTTGAAAGGGGTATTTGCATTGCATACCTAATATTTAGCTACTATCTCTCTGCGTTGGTTCAAAAACATGTACGCAGCGTTGAGTTCTACCAGATTCTCACCGCTGTCGAAACCAGTGCTTCCTGACGATCTTACTTTACCAGGCAAAACGGGTACGCAGAAACTGCTCTAGCCAGTTACTGCCAGTGCTACCTCTCAAGCATCGTCAGCCCTGACAACTTTCGGGGAGTGTCAGCCCTCGGCACTCTCAGGGAGCGTCAGGTGTGACCGCTCTCAGGGAGTGTCAGCTCTGGTCACTCTCGGGGAGTCGCCTCTAGCCACTCTCGGGAGTGTTACCCTGGCCACTCTCAAGGAGTGCCAGCTCTAGACGCTCTCAGGGAGTGTCAGCTCTGGCCGCTCTCAGAGAGAGTGTCAGCTCTGGCCGCTCTCAGGGAGTGTCAACCCTTGCCACTCCCAGGGAGTGTCAACTCTGGCCAGTCTAAGGGAGTTAGCTCTGGTCATTCTCGAAGGGGTGTCAACTCCGACCGCTCTCGGGGAGTGTCAGCTCCGACCACCTTTGGCCTGAGGGCGGCCGGATTGTTGAGGGGAGGATCGCCCGCCCCACCAGCCTCAGGGAGTGTCACATCCACCCGCTCCCCCCCCCCCCACCTGGACACGATCCAGACCCATCGGCGGCGATACGCGTGCGTGACACTGACGGACGACCGCGGCAGGGCCGCCGTCACATGTCCAAACACGCAGCGGCGGCGGTGGTGACGAGAGAGACGCACCGCTAGCCGACACGGCCGGTTGCAGCGCTGCACTGGCTGTCGGACCACCCTGACGGCGGCGGCAGGCTGACGGCCAGCACGCGCGATGGCCCATCGATCTGACCGATGGCTGAGGGGGGGGGGGGGGGGCACAGGACTATCGGCGAGGGAGACAAGCACTTTCACGCCGTTTGAGGCATTAAAAGTCATGATTTGCGACAGACGCGTGCGCAAATTTTGAAAAAGCACAACCAACGAAATTTTGGACGTCGGTGTGCACTGCTGGCATCTGGGAAGCACACCTCAGTAAAGACGCGCAGGAAGATCAGGGACAAGTCAGAGCAATCAGGTAAGGCACGTATCATTTAGTATATCATCGTATCATCGTACATAAACGTCAGACAGATCATATAACGCAATATATCAATCCAGCCAGGACGTCAGAGAGGCCGCAGAAGGTGAGAGATCAGGCAACTTATCGGCAACGGAGAATCAGAAAATGTCGCTGATATTAGAGAGCGTCAAACGGACCAGAGAACGGCAGGGACCAGAGAACGCCAGTCAGGCCAGAGAACGTGAGAGAGACCAGAGAGTGTCAAAGAGGCTAGAAATGTCAGAGAGACCAGAGAACACTAGAAGCCAAAGAAATTCAGGTAAAACAGCGAACGTAGAGAGCGCAAAACGGTATCGAGACCAGGGAATGTAACACAGACCAGAGACTGTCGAAGGGACCGGACAAAGTAGGAAGATCATAAGCGGAAAGCGTCAGCAACAGCAGGCCGATGCACCACCCTGCGGCAGCGCTGACCTAGCCCAAGGACCCACACGCCGCCGCCGCCGCTGCCGTGTTTCTCCTGGCCCGACGCCGGCCAGCGACGCGGCGCTCCGCGTGCGTCATCTGCCACACTTATGGTGAGGCGTCATCGGAGCGCGGCGTGGGTTACGCCAGCGCCAGCTCTGCGGGCCTACCGGTGACGCATCGACCGTCGGCGCCGGCACGCAGATATCCCGCGAACCTTTAACTCAGCCGGTACAAAACTGCACCCAGTTCGGCGCCCGGAAATATGTCTGGCGCGGGCAGGCACGTTTCCGGGAGGCCGCATGACTGTTGCAGTGAGCCAGCTGCCGCGGCAGCCATTTCCGCCCTGCACCGTTTTGGTAGCGCGATGATGAGGCACATCCCATTAATGTCGTTCCAGAGGGGTGAAAAGCCGCAAACGGGAAGCGTTGCCACGCCCTTCGTGAATTACTTTACTGACGCCATCTATTGGCGAATGCCGTAAACTACCGCCCCACGAACACCTACAGAGACACCTAGTGTGGAAATCGTCCGCCACGACTGAAGATGGCACCACTTGCCGCCCGTCCGGGGAGGGCGCGGCCGAGTGCCGCAGCACCATCGCGCGCATACAGCCATGGCGCGAGAGCGAACGCCGTACGAGCGCCGCGCGCTCGGTGCTCGCCGGGGCTCTGGATCCCCGCAGTCGGGCGGGCTCAGATCAATACGGCCGTTTTATGGGCATCCCGGTCCGAATCCCAGCGCCATGGGGCCGGCGCGATCGAGGGGAGATAGCGCCCTGCGCGCCGGACAAATAGCCAGGGGTCGCTGGCGCTCTGATGGACGACTGCAGGTGGGGGAGCGGTCATTAAGCGACAAAGCCACGCCGTTCAAACCAGAGACAGGGAGGGTCAGAGTCGCGGGGGTCCAGGTAACAGCCGAAAGGCCCGCAGTCAGCGCGTCACCTGCATGCAAACGGAGCGTGACATTTCACGAACAGACTGAAACGGTACTCACCGCGCCGTTTCCAGGCTTCTTTTCCTTGTCTTCCTTCTGCTTCTTTTCCCTGCGCAGGAAGCTGAAGCTCCTGAAGCTCCTCTTCTTTTTCGCCTTCTCCTTCTTCGCTATGTTCTCAGCGGGCTCCTCCTGGCCGTTCTGCTCCGTCTTTCCGTTCGTCTCATTTACCTCAGCGTCGCCGCCATCCCCGTTTTGCTTGCATTCTGTGGTCGTTTCCTGGGGGGGGGGGGGGGGGCGAACGTTGTAGTTAAATATAATTACGATGTGCGTAACGCTGACATCCATTTACTTACAATGAATTTCGTTGAGATCTGTCTGCGCATTTGGGACTATCGCAGTACAGCGGGCACTAGCGCCACTTCTTTACATTTACTTGCCAATGTGTGGCTAATCACTCATAACAGTCAACGATCGGCAACACATCGCCGTTCCACTGAAGGCCCCCACGACGAAAAATTCGCTTAAAAGCCACGTGACAAAGAAATGAATGGTGGGAAGCCCAACGCGAAGCTAATCAAAGAGAGCATGGCGACACAACGGCACGCTCCGTCCACCAGGGCACAAAACACTAGTGTATAAAGTCCTCTCGATGGCCCATGGTAAGAGCGAGGACTCCCTGCCGGCGAATTCGCGTTGGTTGGCCGTGTGGCCGTAAATAACGGTGACAGCGCAATGCGCGCCGGTTCCCCAATCACTTACGAACGAGAGGGGCGATCGCCTGTGACAACAGAAACGGGAGGGACGGGGGGGGGGGGGGTCGCGCCTGTAGCCCGTGGACCAACCGCTCGTCCCTGGTACTGGAAGTCCGGTAAGGGGCACGGGGTGGCAACAAAGACCCAGACAGGTCTCCAGCTATCACTGTGCATACGTCAGGTACGTCAGCTTATCCTGGCAGTCAGGTGGACAAACAGTGACCCATTGTTTATGTGGGGCTAGCTTCCCGGCGGCGCCATGGGTCGTCTAGACGCCGTCCACCTGTGCATACACGAGGCTGAAACGGGGCTGCGGTGGCGCAAAAAGGAAACACGACCGTCCGCCTGCCGGTCACAGTGTGGTGAGAAAAAGACGGTTGCGGTGTCACGTCGCCAATGGATCCAAAGACGTGATGCGTGTGCGAAGACAGCTCGCCGAAGAGCCAGTCGCGAGGCATTGCGGCCGGCGTGATCTCGGGAGCCTGTGAGACTACAGCGGTCATTTGTGGCGTCCGTGGCGTGAGCATACATGCGAGCCTGGGTTTGTTTGCTTTGTCGCCTCATTAATCTGCCAGCTGGCCTCGATGGCGAGGCCTAACGATGCTTTGGGCATAACGTTTACCAGGTGAAGTCATTTGGAAGCAATAGCACTAACTGCGGAACGCATGGGTTTCAGTGTCGTCGTTTCGCTTTCGCTGTCGTTGTTTTCTTCTCCGTTTTTCTAGGGATGGTATGGTTCTACGGCTGCAGAAATCAATGGAAATTCAGTGACCGTCAGCTTGAGTGCTGAAGCCCCTCCCGGAGGAATATAGCTGTTCTAGGAATGCAGCATCTACTGCTTGAGATCGGCTAGGACCAAATGGAATAAGCTTAGACATGAACTACGGAACAACAGTTATTTTTACTTGTCGCATCAGCGGTTAGAAGAACTCAGACGCATTCTTCTACGTTTGTCTACGCCATATTCTACTGTTGCAGAGATCGCCTAGAATTCGATGACCATCGCCTCGAGCGCTGAAGCTCCTCCCCATAGAAAAAGGTCTGTTTTAGGAATGCGGCATCTATTTATTGAGGTCGAATAGGACAAAATGGAATAAGATAAGCCAAGACATGCCAAGAGCAATAGCAATGGAGAGAACGAGATAAGCCAAGATATGAACTTCTACGAAATAGCAGTTTTGTTGTTTTACTTGCCACTGCTCTACACAATCCACTGCCCCAGTAACTTGTCCCATTACCGACAAGTCACATTTCCCATCTATGCGGGACCGGACGCGAGTCATTGCAGTGCACATCAAGCGTCCATGGCGTGCTTCTCGTCTGCACGCCGATTCAACGTCCACGTCCTGAACAGTCCCCTCTTCCAGCCCCGCATTGTTACGGGGCCAGTGATGGGGTCGCGCCGAGGGCCGAGTGCAGCGCCAGGTGCTGCCAGCTATAGAGCCGACGGCACAAGTGGCGGCTCCGACAGGCGGCCCAGCGCCGCTCGCCGGGGGGAAAAACGGAAGGCTTGGGGACGTTCACCCGGACCTCGGCTCGCGCGCCAGCCGGCCCGCGCCACGTGCATAACAACGAGACGGCCGCGCCGGCAGCTGGCGCCCGGCCGTCGGACGCGCCGCTTCCAACTGGAAACGGCGCGCGGAGAAGCAGCGGAGACCAGAGACGCGGGGATGGAGAACTGCGGCTGGGAGAGGACGGAGACCAGACACGCGAGGATGGAGAACTGCGGCTGGGAGAGGACGGAGACCAGAGACGCGAGGATGGAGAACTGCGGCTGGGAGAGGACGGAGACCAGAGACGCGAGGATGGAGAACTGCGGCTGGGAGAGGACGGAGACCAGAGACGCGAGGAAGGAGAACTGCGGCTGGGAGAGGACGGAGACCAGAGACGCGGGGATGGAGAACTGCGGCTGGGAGAGGACGGAGACCAGAGACGCGAGGATGGAGAACTGCGGCTGGGAGAGGACGGAGACCAGAGACGCGAGGATGGAGAACTGCGGCTGGGGGAGGACGGAGACCAGAGACGCGAGGAAGGAGAACTGCGGCTGGGAGAGGACGGAAACCAGAGGCGCGAGGATGGAGAACTGCGGCTGGGAGAGGACGGAGACCAGACACGCGAGGGTGGAGAACTGCGGCTGGGAGAGGACGGAGACCAGAGACGCGAGGATGGAGAACTGCGGCTGGGAGAGGACGGAGACCAGAGACGCGAGGATGGAGAACTGCGGCTGGGAGAGGACGGAGACCAGAGGCGCGAGGAAGGAGAACTGCGGCTGGGAGACGGAGACCGGTGTCAGAGATCGATACTGGAGACCGGGGAGCAGGGACGAGGGATTGTCGACCGGACGGCAGATAGTGGAAAACGGACAGAAGATCGCGGATCAGGTCCGGGCCAGATATCGGGGACTAATGACCATGGACAGATCGGGGTTAGGATCACGAGTCGGTGCAATTGTCAAGGATCGTGGATCAGATATCAGAGGCAATCTATAAGAAATATGGCATGGGATAAAATTCATCATGAGCAAGAAATCACAAACCCGTGGTAGAAGACCAGAGACCGGGAACTAGAATTCTGGCAGGACACGTCGGATCACAGGCGCACACAGTGGCATAGATACATAATGCAGTACAAAAAGTTACGGGTAACAAAGAGGACATCATGACCTTGAAAATGAAAGGGGGAAGGAAAAATTGAAAGTTTTGTGGGCATGCACTTTGGTATGCAATGTATAATTAGGTGAAGCAAACGAAATTCTGATGGCGTGAGCGCCTGTACATAAACAGCCAGGATGAGTGCCTGAGGCACAGAGTGGGCGTAACTAAAACCCGTACACTGGCCCGCAGATATGAGGGGGGGGGGGATGGGAGGGACACAGGGGGCCAGATGCAGGCTGCAGCCCCCGCTGTCACAGCGCAGCATACAGCAGGCCTGCCGGCAGCCGCAGTCGCCCGCGCTAGCGTTGCCAGAACAAAGGCTAATCCGCCTCGGGCGATAAACCGCCCGGACACTGCAAAACAAAGCACGTCACCTAATAAGGCATTGTGCAGGAATGAGGCGTGCGGGCTGACCTCGCTGCATGTGCACTCCTGCGTCCCCGCTGAGCGGAGGCGAGACGAGCCTGCCGTGTCGGTGAGCCGGTCCGCGGGCGACGAGAAGCTGTCTGAGCCGGGAGCTCCCGCCGTAACGTAACGCGGGCGATCGCTATTACTGGTCTTGTAGTTACATTTTTTGGGCATTCACGACTGGGGGTTAGTGATAAATGGAGCACACCCGTGCCGCCACGAACGACCGCGCCCAAGATATTTGCCCAATTCCTGCCGGTGCTGTTCAAAATGTCACAAGTAGCACGCGGCATGCTGTACACAGCCGTAGCAAGAAACTGCATTCGAAAAAGCTGGAGCGTGGCTCAACGGTCCACAGTGACGTCACTGCTAGCTGCGCCATGCATCCCTTCTAAGATACTGCACAATAAGCTTCGTATCGAACGGAAATTACGCTTATTTGTGCACGGCTTTCAGTCTCATCCCGACAGTGGCAGTCTGAACTTGGAAACACAGACACCTCATTCGACACGCATCTGTGTAAATTTGTCGGCCGTTAACAAAGAAAATGCGGGTCTTACATCTGCGACCATCATTGTGTACACTGGACGTCCTTGGAGACATTCAGCTCCATCGGGCACATGCTCTGCATTTGAAGTTCTTGCCTATTTGGCATACGTGACGCACAGTTATGTAGGTCTCGTCCCAGCGGCCCGTAAACATCCGGATTGTAAACAAAAGTGGTCCAAGGCTTCGGAGTGAATGCCTCTGAGCATGCGTTTTCCTGTAAGACTTAGACATGTTGAGATCGATGGAGTTTCGTGGCACTCGTGCCTTTTAGGGGATAATTACCGCCTCCCCCAATGCTCGGCACACCCCTCCCCCAGAAAAGTGAGGCCCAAATTACTTCAAAGCTCGCTAAAAAAAAATCCCGGTCCAAATATTTGAAGCTTGCATGATGCTGCCACATAAGATAGCCAGATTGTGGCATACTGGGTTATATGCAAAATCAGAAAAAGAAAGTACATGGACGCGAACGCGTCCATGTACATTCGCGTCATCGCGTCATCGGCTGGCAGCGACAGCGCCACCGGATGGGCAGGGGTGGAAGTCGCCCAATCTGGCGTCAGGAACGGTCGGCATGTGTTTTGCCCCCCACGAAATGTACGGTCAGGTCTGGGGCAGGGGCACAGGCAGGGGCAGGTAGGGGCAGTCAGGGGCAGGCCATGACCACCAACACAAGACGGTAAAATGCATGGTCCCAATGATGAGGCCAGCGGGACTCTAAAAAAAAATACACAAAAGTTGATTCGCATGTGATTCGGGGGCGTAGTCGCCCATTTAGTTAGGGAGGGGGCTTGAGCTCCTTCCCAGCTTTCAGAATAAAAGTGGCCCAATTCAGGGATTTTGAACGCATTTTGGGGGTAAGCTGCGCAATTTTCACTGTTTTAGTCCCCACCCCCCTCCCCTGCTTATTTCGGAAAACGACGCCTCTGATGCGCGTTAAACCGACTTCGCAACTGTCAGCGTTTCTACCACATATGCACATACATCATTGACAATTCAGCCTTGCATTCCAAAGAAAATGCCAAACACCGGATATACTGCCTCCTGTGCTTTGTCATTGGTCGTATCGTTTAAACTGAAGCAATGACATAGGTAAAAAGACTACCATGTGGCGCCCACCGCCCACCGCCCGTGTAAAGGCCAAACTTCGCATAGGTAGTGCAACGTAAAGGGAGAGCTCCCGACAAAGCGAGAATGCCATATATATCAGAAACGGTATGACACGACTTGTCCTCTCTCATCTATACGAGCCGAAAAACAACATTTCGGGCATGCCCGTTTCCTTAAAAATGCCGGAAAGCCTGCCTGTGTTTCAAAATCCTGAGCTGAGCCCATCTCCGGGATGATCATTATGAAGCCCCGCCCAGTGAGTTATTTGTGTCTGATGAGTCCGAGCCTTGCACAGAAGAAACCTGAAAAGACAAGCACTTGGGGGCTAAAGCACGCCATCAGTCTGATTATGAACTCGACACCCAGAGCTTGCACATAAGTTTGATGCGATGCCCGATGTTACGCTTTCTCTCCACCCTTCGTATGGACACGGTTCAGGCTGGCTCTGGTGCTGCCGTGGTCAGGCTGCGCGTTTGTAAGACCAGAGGTACGGAGTTCGGTTCGCTGACGTACCCACCCTTGAAGTCATGGTGAGAGGCAAACCACGCTTCATAGCGTAAATTGCTGAGCGTGCCCTAAGGTCTAACTGACGACAAATACTTTACAAGTGCTTTCCCCCACGGCTCTCAATGCATGTTTCAAAGCCAGCGCATATGTGAGACGTGTTGCACTTCCAGTACGTTATACGCGAAACTGCCCACGACGGCTGATTTATCATTACGATTTAAGAGCGTTAAAAATCCGAAATCCCGCCGGGCGCCACCCTTCGGCATCCTGAGGCGGGTCGTAGCACACGAAATTCGTGTGAGATGTTTATTTTCTCGCCGGCGACCGCCAACTAGACGGGTGATAGGTTTATTATGACACCTTCTCCGCTCGCCTGACACGGCTGATGTTTTCATTTGACGCGCGCGGCGGCCTGCCTTGTTGAGCCTGCCAGGGCTCCGGGGCCGAGGTTATACGAGCTCTCACGTGCGAGGCAGCCACAAGCCGGCGACCGGACCCCACCAATCGGTGCAGCGTACAACATAATTCAAAAGGCCCGCCCACCGACATAAGTACTTTCGGCTATGCATGAGCAGCGGACATGCCATGCGCTTGGCTGCATGTGAGTTGTGGCACAGACGTGAAACAACAACATGGCGCGAAGGGTCTGGCGCCGTTTAGCCTGGTCTGCCGGTGGTCTGACATGCGATCCCGTGATTTGTGCGGTCTGCCGCCGGTCTGCCGTCGTTCGGCCCTGTTAGTAGACAGCGAGCTCTGATGTATGTTAGCCTGGTCTGTCGGCAGCCTGGCATTGCCTTCCAGTGGTGGGGAAACCCGACAAAACGGCTGATTAAGGGAGTTGGCCAGCCTGTTCTACCATCGTCTGGCCTGGTTTACGGCAGCCTGCTCTGATCTGTCGTCAGTCTGCCCTTGATCTGTCAGTGGTCTGATTGGGTCTGCCCGTCTACGGTCAAGCCCGGTCTGTGGGCAGTCTGGCGTTGCATTCCGGTGGTCTGGCCTGTTCTAGCCTGCTCTTCTAGCCTGGCCTCCGGTAGCCTGACGGTAATCTATCCGCGGTCTGGTCTGGTCCGGTCGCGTCTGATCTGGTCTGGCCTGGCCTGGTCTGGTCCGGTCTGGTCGCGTCTGATCTGGTCTGATCTGGTCCGGTCTGGTCCGGTCCGGCCTGGCCTGGTCTGGTCTGGTCCGGTACGGCCTGGTCTGGTCTGGTGTACACCCACCTCGGTCGGAGCCGGCTGCTGCGCCTTGACGTCGCCGTTGGTGGGCGCCGGGTCGGCCCCCTCCTGGCCTTCGATCAGCTCCACTTTAGCCTCGACAGCGGCACCCTTCTTGGGCGAGCCGGTCGTCACCTCGAACGAGCGCTTGCTCTGCTTCAGACCCATGACAGCTGGCTAGTCTGCAACAGAGCGAGAATCGTCAGCGGCGGTCCCCGATGACGCAGGCGGAGCTGGCCGCGGCGAGAAAGCGGACGATAAAGCTGTCCACTGACACCAGGTCATGTGGTACCGACAAGACAGCCAGCGCAGGAAACAGGACGCCATTCCGCTTCCAGAAGAAAGAGCGCGCTAAGCCGGCACCGTCCTCGACAACAGGATGTAGCACAAAACATCGGGCATGCGACGGCAGGCGAACAAGCCACAAAAAATGCATCACACAGCGACATAACGCGATCGAAGACGACAGTACTCATTAGTGCTCCCAAGGCAGCTTAACAGAGTCCGCCCAAACCCCCGCCACATATCAACGCGGCGACCACAGACAATGGCCGGAAGGGGCCACGCCCACAACCGCGTTCCCCTGCCCGCTGCCGCTCCAAACCGCTGTCCCCTGAACCTACGCCGCAAACCGCTCCGGGGACCGGCCGAAGCGCGCCACCGGGGGCCGACCGAAGTGCGCCACCGCGGCCACATCCCGGCATAAACGCGGCGTCGCTCGGTGGCGCACGCGGCCAGGTGCGTCGCCGCCGCCGCGTCCGCTCCCAATTAGCGGCAGTCCGTCAAGGTTGTGGCCCGGCCCCGGCTGGCGGCGGCGGCGCGGGCGGCCGCGCCAGGCGCCCGGCCGCGCCGCCGGTCGCGCGCGCGGCACCGGCCGGCCGGTCTGTTTGCGCCGCTCCGGCGGCGGCGGCCACATTCCGCGTCGGATCAGTCTCGGCGGTCGGCGGCCGTCAGGTGCATAGCCGATCACATCGGACCGTGCCGCGCTCTGATAAACAGAAGCGCGCGCCCGCTTCCGGTGCGCCGGCGCCTGTTTTCCCGGACATTCCAGCGCCGGCGCGCGCGGCCGTGCAAGGCTAGCTCGGCGCGGCCGCCGGCGCGGCGCCACGCAGGCGCGCCGGCGGTCGGGGACCGTCCACGGGTGCGGCGCCGCCGGGGCGCGCCGGCGCGCCGGTGTCGGAGCGCCGGTGGTGAGCGCGCTGACCCCGGAGCCGCCATCTGGGCGGCATCGCACGCCGGCCGGCGTGCTGCTCGCGCCCGACAACGGTCGGCGAGCCGCACCCGTTGCGCCATCGGGCGGTTTCGGAGAGACGTGCCGCAGGCGGCCGCGCGGAGCCGAGGGAGGCGCCGTGCCTGAGCCGACCGCCCCGCCGGCGCAGAACCGGACCGCCCTCATGAACTGGCTACGTCAGAACAGTCAGGCCGCCGGGGCACGACAGCCCGAGGGTCGGCACAAGTGAGCAGGCGGTGGGGGGGGGGGGGGGGGGACGAGAGGGCACAGCTGCCTTCCCCAGTTCATCCATTCAGTCCCCTCGCCGTTTTGACGGTGATCGATGCGGTTCTCGGGCCACAAATGACAGCGCGACACACTCGACACCGTTAACCCGACAAAATGGGAGCCGCGCCGCCGACGGCGCCCGGGCGGTACAGCGCACGGTGCGCAATTGCTACCGAGCGGCGCAGCGGGCGTGGCCTTCATCGTAGACGGGGCGGTGCCGCCCGCAGAAGCGTTAGCCCGTGAGAAACGAGCCTCGGCGGCGGCGGCCCAGCCCGGCCCGCCCCAGCCCGGTCCGGCCCGGCCCGGACCAGCTCAGCCCAGCAGCTGCAGACGGCCCCCTGCCGGTCCGCACGCTGGTCCACCAGCGCCGCGCCGCCACCTCGCCTCTGATCAATGCCTCACGCGGTGAGTCATATAACGGGGGAGAGTTTGAATTAGCTCCGCCGTGCGCGGTGGGGGAGCGGCCGGCCGACGGGCGCGAGACAGCTCACCCCGCAGGGTCCGAGCTGTTTCAGAACGCCCGACGACTCATCCCGCGTCTGTGGCCCGAGGAGGCGATGAAGGCCCGGACCGTCTGCCGTGGGGCCAACCCGGGCGGCCGTCGCCACGGCAGGCGGCGATGGTAGGTCAGGGACCTGTCCGGTCCGCTTCTGCTTTCTGTCCCGGCGACAAAACGCATAGCAACAGAGGGTCCTCCCCTCCGCCCCCGCCAGCCGGCGATAATGTGGTTGTGCTGTCCTAATGGCGTCACGGCACGTATTGGCTCTCTGTCGCCGAGGCGGGCACGGCAGCTCGCACGTGAGGACCGGCGCTGGGACAGGAGGCGGCACCCTCGTTGGCGGCACGGAACGGCCAGCTGCCAGCGGCCGGGGAACAGCGACCCAGGCCAAACACGCGCCGCGGTAAACGAAGCCACAGATCTGGCGGCGGAACGTCAGATGGGTGCGGCTGGGCGGCGCCGGCAAACCGTTGTCGTACCGCTCCCAGCGGCGTTGATGGAAAGGTGAGGCTGCGGTGTATCAAATAATGGTCAATATTTCATGCGGCAACAGTTCTGACGAAGGCGGTGATGTCGACGGCAATGACTGTCGAGCACCTCTGCTAATCGACGATGCCATGCTATCTACTATGCTAGATTAGTGATGACTATTGCCGGACCGACTTTGAAGCTACCACCCCGACCACTGTTTAGGCGACCCATCACAAGTAGCTCCCTCTTCCACCGGTCCCTCTTGGCGCCAATTGCCTCTTCGTTTAGCGGCACGTGGGGCATGAGGGCCACGATGGGTTAAATTTCCATGGCATGGTGACTCATGCGTCCTCCAATGGTCATGGCAGCGGAAATATGCCATCGCGCTATCGCGTAATTGCATTAACCATGTTTGGCGGGTTGATGCCAATGCGACACGACTGCGGTCTTTAGTTGTGGTCAGCTGTTAATGCACAGACACGCAAAGGTTCATATGTCCATGCACAGGTTCATGCATCCGAGACCGAGAGCACCACATCGACTGTATCGCAGCCACTAGCAGTGGTAGACAGGGTAAACAGGGTAGACAGGGTTAACAGGGTAGACAGGGTTGACAGGGTGATTCAGATCAACGTTAACCAATGAGGGGGAGGAGGAGGCGGAACTGCAGGCACTGACATGCAATCCCGCTGGCTGAGAAAATGCATAAATTCACGCATTTTGACCCTTAAACCAGGGGCGTTGTGTCAGGTGTCCCCTTTGTTCCGCCGCCTTCGTACATCGTGTGCAGCACCATGAGCTCAGACCCACCCACAACTGTTTTGTCGATATCTCGCAAACATCGCAAACGGGAATGTTCCTTATCATTCGATGGATAGTCGATGGATAGGGGTAGTCGGCCGGTATCGCAACGGCATCGATTCGATTCCAATAGAAACAACCATCGTATGCCTGTGCAGTAAGACGTAACTACTTCAGATATCAGACGGAACGCAGTGATTATATATGACAGATCATTGTAACACGTGCAGTGGCGCATCACACAAAACAAACAACAGCGGCTGATGGTTGTCAGCCCGATGACTGCCAAGTGATTCCGGTTTTTCAGCCAGCGAAGCGGTTCAAAGGGCGTGTTATCGGCTACGGCTCGCACCATCCCCGGAAGACGGATACCGCGGTATGACCTGTGTCAACGGCGCCTCCCCTCCAACCCTCCCCCCTCCCAGTGTACTCGCCCCTGACCCGCCTGCGGCGCGTCACTCGCGCGCTGCCAGACAGCCGACGGCCGTGTTTAGCGGGCTACCAAACAGCCGGCGGCGTGTTTGGCGTGCTGCCGAAACAGACGGGGCACAGACGACGGCCAGGTGCTCTGACGTCACAGCGCTCGCGTAGTACGCGGGCGACGGGGGAGGGGGGGGGGGGCAGATTGGAAAGGGTGACCTAGGCACAGGGGGCGTGCCAGACTGGGCCGGGTGACCTAGGCACAGGGGCGTGCTTGATTGAGACGGGTGACCTAGGAGGATTGGATGTCTGCTGGTGAGAGCAACGGGGGATGGATGGACGGATAGGACGGACGATATGATTCTAAGGAACCCGTTTCTGATGTGCTGAATGGACCACGATGACCCGCATTCCCAAAACGACTTTTTGGGACGACTGGGTAGGCTTGAACAGGGTAAGCGCAAAAATGTTCATTGCGAAAACATTCGCTCCGGTACTTCAACAATTGCGTGCGTTATTGAAAAATTGGTCCTAACAGGTAAAGCACTAGCTGTAAAACATGTTTTGGGTTTAATGTCACTGTTTGGTGTTGATGCCCACTAAACGATCTTGCAGCAAGTCCGTTTCCGCGATGCCATCCCAGCATACCAGCTCTCAGACTCCGGATATACTTTGCCAAGCAAAAAGGCACAGTGACACCTAAAAAGGGCATGGCAACGACAGTATCGGCCTGTCCGTCTGAGCAGAGCGGGGGGGGGAGGGGGGGGGGCGCTTGGTGCGCAGTTCCGGTGATTCACCGCTCAAGCATCCCCTTTGGTGCAGCAACCGGTTCGGCTGCCGCGACCTCCGAAACCTTGACGTCTCTGGAATTTGCTCGTCGCGTATGCGCCACGCAGCGCACAATACCATAATAGCGTTCTGTTCTGAGAGGCAGCAGCAGAAGAGTTGGCAGCGACATCACGGAAGGGCCACGTGTATCCCCGCAGACTGCCTGACAGCCTCGAAAGGGTTCGCATGTTCCCCCACCGTAAACATGTCCTCGTAACTCACGCGCGCCGCGACAGGTCACGATAAACCGACACAAATACCCCAGCGACGGGTGTGAGGCGAGATCAAAGGAGACGACAAACCCCGCGCCCAGAGTTCGCGCCATGCAGTCAAGTGTGCGAGACCCGCCAGCTGATGATCGCTGCCATTAGGCTATCCAAAATACACCGCTACCGAGGCCAGGTGTGCCGACACCCACCTAATTGGCCAAAGCAAAAAGCGCCGCATCTCTGTTTCGCTCGCTTCGCGAACGCGAGGGCCGGGATGGGGCAGGGTCGCACGCTATTTCGGCACAGGGGCGGGAGGGGGGAGCACGCCTCCCCGTAGGCCAGGCGTCCAGCTGTTGGAGCGCCTCCGAGGAGCGCGTGGCGCGCACTCGGCCGGAGCCGGGCCGGGCCAGGCGCGGCGGCGTGGTGAATGACCGGCTAAGTCGGAGCCGTGATAAC